CACACACACACACACACACACAATCCTGTGCAACTGAACAAACACCTGTCTGCCTGCGGAAGACTGAGAGAAGGGGGTTGTGTGTACTGGACAAAAAAAAAAAAAAAAAAGATCAGAGAGAGAAAAGAGTGTCTGTTGTTTAAGTTGATCACAGAGCTCTGTTGTCAGCACCGTCACATTTGCAGTCCATGTTCTCTCTGATGAGAGACAGATGGACGTGTCGGAGGAGAAGGGAAAAAATTAAGGAGAACTAATTGCCTAATAAAAGACAGATTAWGTATGTATTAATGGCGTATTGAAGGCTCTTATTGGTTTCAGTTTACGAGTTTAATTATTGATTCTTTGTCTTTTAAATACAAAGCTATAAATATGCAGTAATCTGTTATTTTTTGTGGAATGATAAGTGATGGAAACTTTTGCTGAAACAATATACTAAATAYACAAAAGATGAAAAAATAATTTTGCAAACTGCACAAATTTGGACACGTGCATACACAAAACTAAATTGGTTAGTTGCTAATATTATACAAAAAGGAAATCAAAATCCCATCATTAAAAACAGCTAAAATCAGCACATCTAAAACTAAATGAATGTATTTAAATTTTAAGGTCATTGTCAACTTTAGAACAGTGTTAGACTGGATTGTGGACTATGTGCCTGGAAAATAAATAATACTCCCCCTTTAATGAAATGTGCATCAAGTGAGATTAAGTTTGTGTGAAGAATTTGTGAGATTTGAAACATAACTTGTTCTGCGAATCAAATGGTGAATAAGCCGTTCTGCAGGGTTTGTAAATCTGTCTCACCAGCCATGAACCTCAACACGTCACTGCTGAGGATGCAACTCACTATGTGCTTCAAGCATGTCCAACTGGGAGGAAAACCCTGGGACAACCCAGGACACACCGGAGAGACTATGTCTCTTGGATGGCCTGGGATCACCTTGAAATCCTCCTGGAAGGGCTGGAAAAGGTGTCTGAGGAAAGAGAAGTCTGAGCCTCTCTGCTCAAGCTACTGCCCCCTCCGTGACCTATAAATGAAAAAATATCCATTCTTCCACTAGTTTAGCTGATTTTCTCACCCTTTAAGCATAGCACTGGCATCGGCCTCCTCGCTGATGCGTCTCATCATCCCACAGTTTTCCAGAGCCATTCGCTCCAGCAGCCGGTAATCCACATCATTACCGATCCCAATAGTGAAGATACAGAACTTCTCTTGCACGGCCGATCGGGTGTTCCCCAGGATGGAAGTGGACTGGAGCTCCCCGATGGTAGGCCGGCCATCCGTCAGAAAGATAATGAGYGAGACGCTGTTCGGGCTGCTATCGGGGCCAGAGAGGTAGTCACGAAGCAGAGATGAGCCGGTCCGGATGGCTTCATCGATGTTGGTGCCTGAATGATTAATTACCAAGACTGACTTGAAACGTTCCTTTTAAACTTCTGTCAAGGACTGTTAAAAAAAAGGAAGGATTTTCAACATGAACATTAAACATAATGTCTTACCTCCATTAGGTAACAGCGTAAAAATAAACTTCTTGGCATCTCTGATGTTCAAAGGTGTCACCGGCACAAGACGATCTGGCTGCCAAACTTTGATCTTATTGGAGAAGCTAATAAAGTTAAAGTTATCTTCGGGTCGCAGATCTCTCAGGATGGTGAACAGGGCGTCTTTAGTCTGAAGAGGAAGAGATTTATTTGAAATGTTGCTTTTACAAATATGCATGATGGTAATCTTTCATTTGAGGATGAGAGCGTTTATTTTTCTTGATACAACAAAGAAAGACCCAGGAGAATGTCAAAGTATTGAGGAAATACTCAAACGTTCCTCATAGAAACACACTGATTTGACACATTTCTGAACGTCGCACAAACTGTCCACAGAACTTGGGTGGTTCTCTTAATGTACATTTTAGTTTCATAGATTCACTTTTTGAGATGCCTACGGCAACATTCTGTTTATAATTAGTCACTAACAGGTGCAGCTTTTGCTTTGAGTCGGTGCCTCAAATCCAGACCTGCTCAAGGGCCCCATAAAGCTTTGGACTGGCCCTGGCTAATCATGCAAGAAGAAGGAGAAGGAGCTCTAGTCTTTGGTCATGAAACTTAATTGCTAGCTGAAAATTTCAGGATCCAAGTCGATCTGAAAATGTTCTGCACCGCTAAAAGAATTGTTTTACGCATTTGAATACAAAGGGGGAAAAACACGAGCACTTCCTCCCATTGCTTTGTCTTTTCATCTTGTGAGCGTGGGTAAGAGTGATAATTTGAGTCTGGGGGCGGGGGGTCGAAATGAGAAACTGACCTCCTCTCAAACCCGTCATTGTGAAGCCAAATCAAAACACACTTGTTCTGTTTCTGCTGATGGGTGGGCGGGGGAGCAGATSAAGGGGTCGAGGGGGCTGTTGTCTCAGAAGTTCCATTACCACAGAGACAATGACCTTCTTCCCTCGCAGATCGGCCTCGTCTTGTACTTTTCCACTTTTCTTTCTTTCTTTCTTTTTTTTTTTACTTTGAACCTCTTTTGCTTTTTTCTCTCTTTCTCTTCTGGTTTTCCTGCTCTACTCGCAGCAGCTGCAGAGATCAGCTCCGAGTCTGCTGAGAGGGTTTTATGGCAGATGGAAGAAAAGGGTCAGATAGTGATATTCCAGTGTAGGCGGGATGAGGAAGGCTGTTATATCCTGTCTGCTGCAGTCATCAAAATATAACACTGGGTGGATTTTAATGAAACTTTAAAAAAGAAATTATTGGATCTGCAACTGATTAACTTTTAGAATCAACCTGATTAAAGATGGCCGCCCCACCTAACACTAAAATAACCATAACTTCAACAATAGAGGCTGAGCTCAAATTTGGTACGGTAGCTGGGGGTGATCCCCGTCACATTCTCTGAGTGCACTAACAGATCACGCAAATTCTTTGTTTAAACCCTGTTAGGCCATGGGGTGGACAATATGCATTCCTTCAAGGAATGCTGGTTTCATTTTATTGTGGAAAGCCTGCCAAAAAATAACTTTTTCCTCAGATACATTCTATATTATTGCACAATTGATGCTTACTGATTTGGCATTTTTTTAGCTTTTCAATTAATCTTGCTAGGAACTAAAAAGCATTTCTCTGAATTTTGTTAGTTGGATTTTATTCTGGGTTCCAAATTTGGCTCAGATGTTAGAGAAATACGTAGAGTATTTTAAAACCTAAAACTTAGATCCTGAAACAATTGCAAACTGGAAACAAACAAGTTGAACATGCTTATATTCTCACCACAAAGAAAGTAGTTACTGCTTTTATTTAACACACAACTGCGCAGACTAAGTAAGCTTTAGTTTTTCACTCCCCTCTTTAAGAAATTTTTTTTGAAAGGAATGAAAAAAAGAAAAGCCTCTTTTGTTGTGAGTGATTCTTCATCAGATGAAACCAGCACAAGTTTAATGGTGGTGTGCAGAAATCAAAAACAGTTGTGATGTGCGATAGTTTCATTCCTCAGGCTGCTAAACAAGTACCACCCTTAACACATACTGTATTTTTATCCATGTTTGATGCCAGAGTATGGAGCTCTGCTGGTGACATTGGATGAAAAATAAAATAATGTGTGGTCACAAGATAATTTTGAGCAGAGTCTCTTTGTGAGAGATGCAGACATCGTTAGAGTCAGATTATGAATACCTTCTTTTTGTTTTTAATTGTTCAAATGTACCCCCACTTATTATT